TTCAGAAGGGTTATATTATTAACAAAATTCTAGTTTTTCTTATCAAGGAACTGTTTACAATATTTAGTTTCCAGAGTGACCCAGGCGTGTAAACACCCAACAGCTGTATAGGAGTGTGGGCGTCTAGCTCAACTGCTGTAGGAGAGCCACTAATATACGTTTATTATTTAAATGGTGGTGTCAGAAACAGACGCGGTATAACACCTCTTTTGCTGGTAGAAATTTGACACATAATGGCGGCCTTTGATAAATGTAACTTTATGCTTTTAAGATTTATTTTATGTTTAACGTATTATCTGAGTCAGATTACTCAGGTTAATTACTGTTTATGATGGGGATAACTAGACCACGGAGATCATCGATGAAGGTTATAACTATTAAACTCGTCATTCAACAAGTCAAGTGAAACATGTGTTAATACTTCTCAGAATTCTATAATGATATTTATAAATAGTAACTACTCGTCACACCATGGTGGTGTGACCTCCTGATTTATTTTTAGGTGTTGGTCATTTGGGTGAAACAATGTCAAGTACACAAAGGTGGAATGATTGTTCTTATTCCTCTCTTGAGTCATGTGACTTGTGAGTTATGGGCAGCTCGCTATTGGTGGCTACCATGTGAGGTGCCATGTCATTGGTGGTTCAGATAAGGGAATCGAATGTCAGTGAAGGCTACTTGGAAAAAAAAAGACAGTAACCTCACTGTGCTTCTGTCACCAGCAATACCCTGGCTATCATATCTTGTCTATACACACTTGTGAAGGCGCCACACGTGTGCACCTCCCTCACACACACCAAGTAAAGGCAATTCGGGGGTTTATTGTATTATATCTTTAACTAATTTTCGACTCAGTGAAAGTAGGTATTAAGGGTGCTGCTGGCGCCGTATAAGTTGCTGTACATGACTTGGGAACCATTAGCCAATATATTAAAAAAGGAATCAAAATAAAGATGCATAAAAAAAATGGTAGGAGACAAAAGTTACCCAGACTTAAGGGAAAATAATCACCACTTTTCCGGGAACAGTTTTCTTCTCTGAGGCGGAGGTTGTAAACAAACACTCACATGTACCCCCTCTCACCTCAACGGCCCCACGGGAACAATTGAGATCACTGTCCCTATGTACGTCAAATGTTTTTATATTGTTATTTACATATAAGGTTATATAATACAATTCAAAGATTTCCTCGATCTATGCTGAGGTGAGAGGCTATGCTGAGGTGAGAGGCTATGCTGAGGTGAGAGGCTATGCTGAGGTGAGAGGCTATGCTGAGGTGCTGCAAGAATTAACTCGATGCTCTGGAGTTTCCTTTTTATGACGTCTGGCAGCCATCCCACGCAGGAGCTTGGTGTTTGGGCTTCCACTCCCACCCAAACACCATATTATTGAATCAAGTGCCTGTACTCTGTCTCCTGGTTCTCCCTTGCTGTTGGAATATATAATTTGAATGTTAGTAGGACACTACATTCCTCAGGTCAGCGAGCATTGTCGAGGTTATACAATCACGAGACTTCACTATCACTCTTCAAGGGCTCTCAACAGCACACCTCAAGAGGATGTGTCATATCGCCTCACTGCCTAAACACTTGAACACACACCAACAGGAAAACCCGTTAACCCACCTGGAACACATCCCAGTTATCAGATCAGACTGATAAATCAATAATGCCTTCCCTTGTGTTCATATTTCTGGTAACTGTTCAATTATTGTTCACTATAACTATATTGATATTATTCTTTATGTTTTATAGTAACTGGTGGAAATGGTGATTTTAGAGGGAGGAATATAACGAGTGGTTTAGATAGTAAGCCTTTGTCGTGTTGTGTCGTCACCATCTACTAGTAAGCCTTTGTCGTGTTGTGTCGTCACCATCTTCTAGTAAGCCTTTGTCGTGTTCTGTTGTCGTCACCATCTACTAGTAAGCCTTTGTCGTGTTCTGTTGTTGTCACCATCTACTAGTAAGCCTTTGTCGTGTTCTGTTGTTGTCACCATCTACTAGTAAGCCTTTGTCGTGTTGTGTCGTCACCATCTACTAGTAAGCCTTTGTCGTGTTGTGTCGTCACCATCTACTAG